CCCTTTTTTTTTTTTTTTTTTTTTTTTTTTAACCCTTATACAATCCTAATGATGAGGTGCGAGCTCTACTAACACTTCTTTGCTTCTGACTCATTCTGTAGATAGGCAGATGGCCTGGTTTGTGAAGGACTCGCCTTACACACAGTCACTTCACTTGTTTTTGTGTTTTGCTTGGAGATCTATTGTGACTGTTTCCTCTTCCCAGTTTTTGTTGGCATCTGCAAATATTTTATGCTGGCTTGGGCAGATGGTTATAAAAGCTTTATCTGAGAGAGGATAATTCTGAAGATAATTAAGTTTCCCGGTTAATGTCTGCATAAGCTAATATGTAAATAGATTCCATCAAAATTTAAATTGTCAGTTGCTCTTCTTTTGTTGATAAATAAATCTATATTCTGTTATTTTAACACACAAAGTGCCTGTGTTTGAATAAAATTTATTTTTTTGGTGTGTCTTACTGATTTCTGATGATCAACAAGACCAAAGTTGATTCATACCTTGTACTTAGAACTAATTTCTTGTTTGAAAAAGTATACACAGTCTTTAGATATCTGTTACCTTGATCTGACTGTTTTGGCTCTGTTGAGTATTAGATTATATATAGCAAGTTTATTCATTAGCAGCTTGCCTAATTACGTCTGGGGTTTTTTGGCTATTATGTGATGCATAGTGTTAACTGCACGTTAAGCTTCTTGCTAACCGTGGAGGTGCTTCGAGGTTGAATCTTGGTGACCTCGTAGTGATTCATCTGGCAGTAATGACAACCTCATAGCAAAAATGCCTCTGTAACAGCAAAAGGGCTGCTGCTGAGGGATGCAAATGCATCTTAACATGGAGCGTTTTCCAGTTCCGACTACTGCGGGTCTGGATCTCAGAATTCCACACTTTTGTCTTTATTTCAGTTTCTGAGGTACAAATGATAACTGGTGGGATAGTCTTCTGCAGCATCAGTCTATTTTCATATGGTAGTGATTGTTTCCTCTCATGTTTCCCACAGCATTTCATGCTTCTGAATTTCTACATGCTGCCTTCTGTTTAGCTAGTACTTCGTAGCTCTTTGTCATCTTTGGCTGTGCAAAGTTTTGGCTTCCAGGCCTTCTGGAATGGGATCAGCAGCTTTGAGATCTTGAAAAGTTTTCTCAGTTCAGATGGTTTTCTCCTTAATGGTAATATTGTAGAGAATGAACATTTGCCACCTTATCTTAGTTGTGATCCTAGAGTTTGAAGTAACATGAGCCACGTTTTCTCTTCTTTGATGTGAGTTCAGAAATGTGTGCATGTTTTATTTTTTCTCTACATTGTGTTTTGGCCTAAGAAAAATATAGGTAGTTCTTGAGATGATCAGCTCTTTAATCTCCATTTTAAGTTTGTAAGATAGTCCCCTGTCCTGATTAAATGGTATTCTTGTTCAGGGACCTGACAATTACTACTTGGTCATCTGTCAGATTTCAGGGACCATGGAATATTATTGACTTCCCTTCGCAAATAGTTCTCAGTTCCTGTAACCAGTTATATGTAGCAGAAAACCAGTATAAAGTCGTAAATGCATTTTCCTCAGTGTCAAACAAGCAATAGTTGTGTGGTTTCTGTTATGTGGTGGTTTTGTGGGTTTTTTGTTGTGTGTTTCCCCCCCCTCCCCCCTGAAGGAATGTGCTAGTTTTGCTTAATTTCAAGGAAAACCACCCACTCTTCACTCTGTGTAAGGGATAAACTCAAGTTTGTGTTCATATAACTTTGAAAACATCATCTGTTCTTTGTTGCTGTGACTTAAAAAAGTAGATCTGTTCGGGGAGTGGAGATGGGCCGTTCTCTGAAGTAACAGGTTAGAATCAAGTTGGTCTTGGTACCAGGCCTTGGATGCATAATACTTTGAAATATTACAGACTGTCTTCTCTCCTGTTCTCCTTCTTGCTTTCTCTGTTCTGCTTTAAATTGCCTGAGGTTTGTTGTTCTGCTCAATAAAAGAGAAGAGCTGGTCTCACATTGCAGAGAACAGCAGAGACAAGTCACAGCTTTCAGGCAGAGCTTGTCTTTGAAGGTTGCTTGATCTGGCTCAGTAGAGGGAAGCTCTGGTTTCATCTATCTGCTTCAAAACCTATAAGGAGTAGAGTCCAGAAACAGAGGACACAGCACATTTTAACTTGAAATCAACCACTGTTGAAATACTATTTCTTAAGGTCATAAAAGTACAATTAAAAGCAAATAGAGTACCAGCTTGCACAGTACTTCGTTCACTTTGGTCATCTCAAAGTTCAGGTATAGTGCAGGCAACAGTCATGTCTCTTATGTCATCTGGAGATCCTCCATCAAGCAGAAAGACGACGTTGTGGTTCCCAGAGTTAAACAGACTGTCCTATTTCCTGGGGTGCAAGAATGACAGTACTGATCTCCACGTACCCTGCATGCAGAGATTTGTCTTTCAGCAGGAATATTCCTAGATATTTCCTTTCTTTTTACTTTCAGAGGTGGTAATTGCAATCAATGCCACTACTTCCTCTGTTTTTATGGGTGCCGTGATGTCCTGGCCTTTCCCTTTAGTTTTCGCTTTTGGATTGATCTGTTGAGGGCAACAGTGAGATACTCTCCTTATCATGGTGATCCAGTGCCAATTACTTTGGACTAGTGCAGAAAATCTGTAAATGGAAGCTTGTCCTAATTGGGCACCTATGCAGTTAGCTTGTCTCCTAGAAGGTGCCCTCAGCTTATTGCTTTTTTTTCATTGTGTAGCACTGTCCTTTATACCGCTGTGTCACTGAAATGTTATGATGCTAATTGCTAGAGATAACTGCTGGCTGGGTGCTAGAGCATTCATCCTCTCCCATTCTTGACAGATAGTTGTCTTCATGCAGGTAGCACAGGCAGTTGTTGAGTCAGGTTCTGATACCAGTCCCAGCATGGTGAGGTCTGTGGGGTGGGAGAAGCCTTTTGGTGTCCTGTCAATAGTGGTAGTAGTAATGGCTGCCTTGTTGTGACCCTTTAAAGCCTCTCAAACTTGGAACAGTTGCCTTGTAACTGTGGAAAGCGTTGCTTGTGAAAGGTCCTCCAGCAGTGGGTCTTTGGGTTTCTGGATTGACTGGTCAATAGAATGACTGATTTTGGGGGATTTGTACTCCTGAAAGCAAGTTGAAGGAAATGTCGGTGTAACAACTGTCGTGCTGAAGAAACTGTACCTCAGCTAGGACATGGAGAAGTGCTGTGCCTGGTTTCAGCAGGTGAAGACAAAGAAGTGCTCCAGCAGTGTCACTGGAAAGAATGTGGCACAGACATGTTCAGCTTGCTTTTCTCGGGGTATGACCTCAGAGGTGGACTGAGTCTGGCTGCTGGAGCCAGCCACTGCCAGCTGTGGGAACACTGGGAGAAGCCCTTTCTGGGAATTGTTAGTCTCTTCTTGCAGCTTTGAAGATCTAGTTTGGCATTTTGTTTATTAAGGATAATTCTACTTCTTGCTTTATAGGGAGTAATTCTGAGAGAGAGTGTGTATGTCTCAAGTGACCTGTCATACCTCTACCCCAACACCTTTTAGCTATCTGATCTTGTGGGATGGCTCTTTTCCTCAGTATAATACAAAAAGAATGAGGTAGGATTTATTTTCTGGTGATCACATGCTTATTTGTGATGTAGTTTTCCCCTTTCACTATGAAAATAATGTTACAATAACCTTAAAGATGTTTAAGTATGTATTTATATATTTCTTTTTAGGATGAGGCAATTAAACTTCCTAAATGGAAGTAAAAATGGGATTAAGTGGATAGTGCAAAATTACAGCTCACGCTGAAAGAAGTACATAACAATTCAAACTAGGAATCACTCAGTGTTTTACTGTGTAACTTCATAAAGTTACTGAATGTGGAATGCAAGTTAAATTGAATTTATGGCACAGTTTAGATTAATGGGTTGAGTTTAGGACTCGGTCTCATTTTAGGACTATAGCCAACAGTACAAATCTTCAGTGTGTTGAGGCAGCATTTCTGTATTTCACTGTCTTCCTATTCAGTTCCAAGAATACAGCAGGATTAAATGACTACTCTACTTTCTAGAAGGGTGTTTAATTGAAAAGCCTTCTGCTGACAGCTCTTAATGGATGTGAGATGGTAAAACCTTTCTGGAGTGTTCCATAATGGAAGATCCAAATCACTGGATTTCTCAGCAAAAAATTTCTGAATTCACCACTTGCTTAGCTAGTATCTGGAGAATTTCTGTGTCCTGAATCTCATCGGTGACATCTGCTGCTTTCTTAAAACTGTGGATACTCTAGGTCTGGTCTCTGTAGGATAGTCCCTGAGTCGTGCTGTCCTGGCAGGAAAGACACTGTTTTGAAACTGTATACGTTGAGTATCATTCTTAGCACTTGTTAAGAAGAGTAATATGTAATATTAGGTTGCTTCACGACAGACTGCTATCTGGTGGTGACAGGACTTAGAGTAATTCTGTAGACACTCACTCGGACTGGCCTTTCCTGCTCTTACTCCTGCCTTGGCACTTGGGTATATCTTCCTTACTCCTGGCTTCAGCAACGACTGTGATGGAGCACCAGTATTTGTCCTATTTGCAGTGAAAATAGTACAGCAAGTATCACTTCAACATGTGGTGCATACTGCCTTGTTGATTTATTAATTATTCTGATGCTGTCTTGTCTAGTACATGTAATTAAAATGGAACTGAGCACATAAGTAATATTTTTCTAACAATAATTTCACTGTGCTGTGTTTTGGGGGAGGTTTGTCTTTTTTTTTTTCCCCTGTTATATGTAGTATTAGAATAGCTTGTAGATTGTTCAGATTTGCAAAAATTATTGTCATGTGTACTTCTGTTTGTATGGGGAAAAAAATCCTGAAAGCTCTTTTAGACTTTCTCATCTCTCAGTAATTTCAAGTGGCCTCTCTGCACTTACTCCAAGATTGATTAATCCCTCATAAAGTTGAACAATAGGAATAGAAAATAATATTTTAGATGAGATTTCATCAGTGACTTGCATGAGAGCACTAATGTTACACTCTCCCAACTAGATGTATTTTGTGTATGTGTACAGATTCCTAGGATTGTTGGAGTAAGTCAAGGATTTTTTTTCATGTATATAGTGTTTGGATTTTTTTTATACTTGTTCGTCCATTGCAGAGACATGTCTTTTCCAAGCTTCATATTTTTGAATTGTTGAGTTACTGCAGTTCTGTGAATGGAGATAAACTATACATATCAATAATTAATTCAGGAAACACGCTGTCTTGATAAAGTTTCTTAGAAATATGAAACCAAATGAGAATTTCTGTTGCTTGGAGTAAGTTAATTTCAGCATCTCTTATCAAAGAGTTTTTCCTCTTTTAGTTAAGAGATCCCTCCAAGTGTTCAAGGCCAGGTTGGATGGGGCTTTGAACAACCTGGTCTGGTGGGAGGTGTCCCTGCCCATGGCAGGGGGTGGGACTCAGTGGTCATTAAGGTCCCTTCCAACCCAACCCATTCTATGATTCTGTGGTTTGTATTTGAAATCTGTGGTGCTGCTACTGAAAGTTTCTTGCGCATCTTTCCTAAGGATTTTTTGTGAATATTTTTGTTAGTGTGGTTTGTTTTTTGTTTTTTGTTTTTTTTAGTTTTTTTTAACTAGCCTTTAGATATACAGTTTTGCTTGAGGTTGCTCTTTGAGAGACATTCTTTTTAACAGCCACGCCAGCTTCTGGTTTGTATTTGAAATCTGTGGTGCTGCTACTGAAAGTTTCTTGCGCATCTTTCCTAAGGATTTTTTGTGAATATTTTTGTTAGTGTGGTTTTTTTTTGTTTTTTGTTTTTTTTAGTTTTTTTTAACTAGCCTTTAGATATACAGTTTTGCTTGAGGTTGCTCTTTGAGAGACATTCTTTTTAACAGCCACGCCAGCTTCCCAGCTTCTGCAGCTTGATGCTGCTTGCTTAATTGTTCTAGTAAAACTGTTCATGCAGCTGTGGATCAGGGAACTTGGTTAAGAATAATCAAACTCAGGTACTTTTTTGCCTTACTGCTTTTGACCTGGATCATTTTGATGAGCAGCTTTGCCGAATGGCCTGCAGTCATATTGATGCAAATGGATGGATAGTATTATGATAGGAATTAAAGATGGAAAAAATGAGAAATGCTTAAGGCTTTTTACAGTTTATAAGAGAAAAAAATCCCACAAAGCAAAAGCTTTACTTTCCTGCTTAGAAAAATGTCTGTTTGACAAAACAAATCCTCAGTGGTATAGATTTGTATAAATGTAGGACCCTCCTCCTCCCCAACAAATGAAACAACTTTGTAGCAGCTTAGATTTTTAGACTTGCTGGTTATGCGGACTCAAGGTCTTTCCTACTTCTTGGTAGTGGAGAGTCTTTATAGGTTTAGTAATGCTACATTAAATGCATCAATAGTTACTGGAGCTCTGCTTATGTCATCCATAACCATATAATCCAAGAACATGAAAGTATTCAGGGTGCGAGGGGGTTTCCTGATTGCTGTCTATAACTATGTGATTAGAGATACAGATACGGTGGAACTAGACTCTCTCCACAGGTGCCTGGTGATGGGATGAAAAATGGTGTATACAAGCTAGACGGGCTTCAGTTATTGTTCTGTGATTTTATACCTCTGAGAAATCAATGGCAGCAAGAAAATTGCTCTCCCTTGCCTTTCAAATTAAAAGAGAACAGTATGCAACTGGAACGCCCTTTTAGTGTTGCCTATTTCATTCATCTGCTAGCTCGTGTTTACTGAAGCTGTAGTAAAATGTCAGGATGACGTTTTGGTGTACTACGTGTCTGACATGAATTTTTTCTTTCCTTCAGCAAATTTGACAGGCCACGCAGAGAAAGTTGGCATTGAAAACTTTGAACTCCTGAAAGTTCTCGGAACAGGGGGTAAGATGCACTATTTTTCTAAACTGAATGTTGGAGCATTACTTTTAAGTATACTTTTTTTTCCTAGCTGACGTCTTGGTAGTTGGAATGTTCTTTAGGAAGATGTATCACTTTTATATTGCATAGCTTAATTTCTTTAACTTTTTTTTCTCACAAATATTATCCGAAATTAGAGGCCACATGTTCTAGTTTACAGTACTTTTGAAGATGCATTTGAAAAAAAAAAGTAAAATAAATGGCTTCAGATTTGTAATGACTTAATACAGTTTATCAAAAAGTTAAGGCATGATCTTGATAATTTCATTACATTTTCAGACTGTTTTCCTGAATTTCTCAAAAAAACCAGTAATGTTAGAACATTATTGAATAGGATGCTCTGCTCTTTAACTACATGTTTTAGAGTTGGCATTGGCTCTACTAGTCTTTTTGTGTCCTGTTCAAATCCCAGTAATTTTTAAGATGGAAAATGTTCATTGTTGTATTGTGGATTTGAGCACAATGACTGTAACCAATAAAAAAAGCTTTGTTTTTGCCTTTGTTAAAGGGATACACACAAAGGTCAGTACACAGACCAAAAGTAATAGCTTTTATACTTCTTAATGTGTTTCCACATTTTTTTGTCAGTGTTAGCATCAGATGCAGTGTTGAGTAGATTGGGATAATCCTCAAGGTGGACTATCATCAAGGTCTGTAGAAAGTATAAGTTATGATATTAAATTTTGGATGTTATCAGCTGTTAATGGTTAGCAGTGAGGCTGTACTTGCATGAGCTGATGTATCACTGAAAAGAGCAAAGGTTTTTGTTTTTTCCCAATTAGGTATTGTACAAATTCTTTCATAAATTCATTAAATCACCTGAGAGTATATTTTTCTGTTTCTGAAGTAATTATCTTAAAATTTAAATTTAACAGGCCTAACAGTTCAACCCTTGCTGTTAAATTTTAGTAGTTAGTGGTAGAGGCAAGGAAGCTTTAATATTCATAGATACATGTTGCATATTCATAAGTAGAAGCAGCTATGCGGTTTTGAAGTGGTCAGTAGTGGTCTGAATGGGGATGACAAAAATTAAATTACTTATTACGCATTTATGTCAGGATGTCTTTCTCTCCTGCTGATGGAAACATTGGCTGGATTTTAATTTTAATTATACGTATGTCTGTGTGTATGAAAACCAGTCCCATACCTGAATTTTTTCTTTTTTCCTTACCGCTCTCATTAGTCTGAGATCACCTTAATATTACAACTGTTGCCTTTGGAATACAAAGTAGTTTTGGTGGTTTCATAAGTGTCAGTCTTCAAGTTCAGACTAGTGGTAGCCCAACCTCCTCCTGATGTCTTTAGTCCATACCTCTGAAATGCCCCTTTTGTGGCTGTTAAACTGTTGTCTGTCATTCATTGCTGCCTTCTATGTCCTCTTTTCTTCATGAACAGATCAGTCAGATTTCTCTTGATGTGGGATACTCTTAATTATAGTGGGTGGTCCTTAGTCTCATAGTCCAAAAGCTCTATCCTATTCACTCAGGTGAACAGGAGAATTTTTGAGTGGCCCCTTTCAGAAAAGGCTACTTCAGTGGGTTGACAGTGGGACTGACAGTGTGTGTATGTGTGAAGAAAAAGCAAAAAAGCTGAGGAAGCCTGGCTCTCTGTCTTCCTCCTGCTCCAGTAGTCATATTGCTCCAGAAACTTCTTCTGACTCAGTAGACTTCTGACTATTTCAAGAACTGACTAAACGTTCCCTACAAGCTTTATGCACCCAAGGACACGTTGGGTATCCTCAATTGGCATTCGTAGGAAGAGTAGTATTGGGTTTTGTTGAGGAAATGCTAGTTGCACTTTTTAAAATATGTAACTTCAGTCGTAGTCTGAGGCTCTTGCTTTGGAAATCTAGATCATCAGGGCAGGCTAGAAGCTTTGATCAGTCTTCAGTGTATCACAGCTAAGACTAGTGTGCTAGGTATATCAGAGGTTGTTGCTTGCCAATTACTGGACAGCATTAAATGCAAACATCAGAATGGAGCTGGTTCTGTTTGCTTTTGGGAAAGTGACCATCTGTGACTTGTCAGTGTTGGCACGTTCTACTGTGAAATAAGTTTTTGTGAGTATTGGACCCACTGTTGCAGAACCACAGACAACTTGTTCAAATTGTCTCTGGTGCTGTTAGTTTAATGACATACAAACCCCTTTGTAAAAAGTTAGTTTTTAGGAAGTTCTAGAACTGCCTTGTCCGTAGCAAGAATTATTGTGTAAGTTCTCCATCCTAAGTATGGAAAACCAACTGAAATGTCGTAGACCTCACAGTATCTGTTGCATGTGAAAAGTCTGGATCTATATATTCAGTTATCTATCTATCCTACTGACTGTGTGTTTTTCTTGTGCACTGCATCTTTGCTTTTTTTCCCCACAACTTCCATAGCAGAAAGATTATTTTTTTAAAAACTTCATAAGACTCTAACCCCCTTTATGCATGGAAATTTAGCTACATGATCTTAACTCTGTGTCATGAGTTGTGGGGTCCTGTTCAGGCCTGCGGCTTCTTGTTGTCATGCTTGAATTGAGGTTTGGAGGAGTGAGTATGACTACTCTGACTTCTCAGCTCTTTGTACCAGAATACATGTTTACTTGGGGGAATGAGAAGAAGCATAAAGAAAACAGTCTATAATCACAATAACGTAAGTCAGAAATATTTGGATTAGCAGCCTATTATTGCAGACTTGTCTTAAATGATACTGTACAAGCATAAGGCCTCATTTAGAACTTGTACTGTCTTGTACAGACCTAGTCATCTGCATTTCAGTTGTCGTCCTCAGGCTTGCTCTCACAAAAAAAATTAGGAAAAAGTTCAGAAGGTACTTGCATGCCTTCTGTATTCATAGAATCATAGAAGAGTTGGGTTGGAAGGGAAGCCCAGTCATCTAGTCCAGCCTCCCCTGCAGTGAGCAGGGAAATCTTCAACTAGATCAGGTTGCTCAAAGCCTTGTCCAACCTGACCTGGAATGTTTCCAGGTGTGGCACATCAGCTGGGTCGTCAGCCCTGTCACCTTCTTAGAGGAACATCCCTTAATTCATTTGAGGTGTTTCACTGCTTCAGGAGCCCCTGTCTCATCTCTGTATGACTTGCAGTGTGCCGCAGAGTAACCAGCACTTCTCGGAGCAACAGGCTGCAAGATGTGGGGAAGATAGTTGAATCTGACAGATATATTCATATGAAGGGAAGAAAATGGGTAGGATGAATGTCAGATTTAAATAATCAGCTCAAAATAATGTTACACCAGTATAATAAAGTTCAATCTAAGAGGTCTGGAGGTATTCTGATAAAGTTAAGACTCTGAAATTAGGTTAGATCTTTCAAAGCATACTGAGGAAAAGAGAAAATATTCTCCTCTCATAAAAGGAGAAGAACAAACGGGGGTTACTGTGCTCAGGAGAGTGAGCCACGATTAGGGAGTGTCTAAAAATAATTCCAAACTCCAATAATATTTTCCTTCGGTTACTGGTGAGGGCAGCTGTGGTGGATACCGAATGGCAGGTGGGACGGCCAATTGGAGACTGGGTTTGGAATAAGGAAATTACTTTTCTGTACAAAGAGCAGACTGAAAAGGGGGGGGACCGTGTTCAATCTAAGAACCTAGACCCTGGGTAAATTTGTCCCATTCATCCATCAGAGAATTCTTTAAGAATCTGGATGTTAAATTGGAGATCAATAGTAAAGATTTTTTTTCACTGGAGGTAATGTCAGAGGTGTTTCAGTATAACTGGAAATAAAAGCAACTGCAATCCTATATTTAACAAGGAAAGAAAGAAGTAAGATGATGATCCAGGCAGCTGTTCGTTAATTGTTCTGCCTTCAGCAGTATGTAGTGCCTTCAAATCAATTTTGAAGAAAATAATTTACTTTAACTTTTGTAAGAATTAAAAATGAATGGCATGCATATGTAGTGGTAGATTGTCTTACCTATAAAAGCCTTCTTTTAAAAATTTACTTTCTTTAAAAAAGAAATGCCTGTTTCCTCTTATAACATTTACTTTTTTAAAAAATCTAAAGGTAAAAAAGCAAAATGTAGATAGAAAGTGCATTTTTAAGATGCAGCTTACACTCTACTGTCAATTTCTGCCTTTCTAATTTATTATCTCTTATTCATTTAATGGCACAGGGAACTTGTTCTTAGGGAAATAATAATGTTGAAAAAAGTCCGTTAAAGGTTCTTCTCTACCTCATATTGAAGGAAAGATGACAGAGGATGTCTCTGACAGTTGGTGGTGAACAATGAAAATTGAAAATACTAGTTCATAATTCTGTTGTTTGATTTTTAAAGTTTTTGCTTGGCTTTTTTTCTCTTTTTCTGTTTTTAGCTTCTAGAGATATTTGCCTTTTTGACTTCACCACTTCCCATACTTTAATTCATATGGACAGATACCTGGTCAGTGAGAGTTCTCCTTCCAAATTCTTTAGGAAGATTAAATCTGAAGGCTGTTTTAGCAATAAAAAGTGCAGTGGAAAGAGTTTGTAAGGTATATATCATGCAAGAATACAGTGAAATTTATTCAGATAATTAAATATTTTGTACCTCTGAGCTTTTTCCTATTGTTGTCTCATGATTATTCTTACACTGACAGTAAAAAAAGAAATTAGTTTAAGAAAGAGGCATAGCTTATGGTAACACTTTAAAACTTGCTTTAAAACTGTCTGTGTACAAATGTCAAGTTTGGATGGATTTAGAAGTCCACATAAACCATCCTGTGTGCTATAAACAATAAGGATTGCTTGTCTTTTTCTCTGTAAGAATCAGCTGGCAGGATGTGCTTGCATTTATACAGAAAGAATAAAGAAGCAAAGAATACTTTGTATTTTAAATTTGTGGTCTTTCAGCAAGTGTGTACTTTAGAATATTCTAATGACTTGCTGAATTGTTACTTATGATCATGTGTGTTACTGTGAATGTGTGTTCATGAAAAAGGCAGCATGAAAGGAAAGTTTTAAGCCCATTACTTTTTTCTGCCTCACAACTTAACTGGAAATTCAGTATAAATTGCTGGTATGAAATCTCTTAACTCAGCTAACAGGCCCGATATCCCTATCAATCTGCAACTAATAATTGCTTTGAATTTTTATTTCTTCTAATGAACTGCAAGGTCAGTCTAACATGGTTTGTGTGTGTGTGTATATATATATATATTTATAGTATGTATTCTATAGTCTTTTAGTTCTTCCATCATTTAAAATATTAATAAGATTATCAGGTAAGGGTATTTTCACAATTGGCTTTTGTGCCTTCTTGCTGCCACTCAAATGAATTGCTTTTGCAGTGTTGTCTTTTAAGTCGATTTCTCGTGATGGTATAAAAGATTCTGGTGTTGACTATATCATGAGTCATTTGATTAAAATAGCGCTACTTAAGATTTACCCTCATCAAAACTGCTGAGAATCCTCATCATTCTGTCAGTCCTTTTCAGATTTCTGAAGTAACAATTTGTACCACGGTAAAGCTCTATGTTGCAAATCCTTTTATGATAGTATAGTTTTGAGAGATTTCCTCACAGCTGTTACACTTCCCAGATAATTTTCTCCTGTGCTGTATGTAAAGCTGTAGTGGGTGCTGGTAATATACTGCTAGTATTCTGCCGCTTAAGTTGTGGTATTCTGTTTTTATAAAGCAAAGATACGGGTAGCAAAGTGTTAAAATCTAGGGGCTTCTATTTATTTTAGCTTAGCGTAGCTTAATGTTCTCCAACATTTCTGGTAAAACTACTGTTTCCCAGGAACTTAAGGAAGCTTCTGTGTAATGCTCCAGGCTGGGCTTTTCAGAGGGGCCCAAGGAAGTTCAGCATCAAGCTCCAGCAGAAAGTTGGTGAAAACTGGGGCTGCTACCATACGCAGTTGGGAAATGGCAGCTAAGGCCATTCTCTCTCTGGTTTTGTTCCATGTTAGTAGAATGCAGAAGTGTTGTCTACATTTTCTAAGAAGTAGCTCCTTAAAAAGATGTAAATGCTACTTTTGGAAGCCTTTTTTTTTTTTTTTTTTTTTTATATGAAGAACTGCAGTGGCTGAAAAGGGAAAGCTCACCTGATAAACAGAAATTCAAAACGTCACCAGCTTCTTCATCAGTTTTTGAGAAAAAAATATTTACACCCCAGCTGAACGAAGCTGCTTTGCAGCCGAACCCTGGCAAAACTGCAACAACGGAGAAGGTTTTGTGTCTGCTTTTTAATGATTGTATCCTAATTACAGTAAAATTTCACCCCTTCCCAATGCTGGCTGGGAGAATCATTGTAAAATGCGGGGTCCTGCAAATTAGCAAGCAAGCGAACAATAAAATCCCCCCCAAGGTTTTTTTTTTTTTTTTTTAAGCTAATGCTCTCAGTAGTAGGGGGTCTGTTTTTCAGATGCTAAAAAGAATTTAATGTCCAATATTGGGGAAAATAGGTGAATGACATTAAAATTTTGTATCTGCATAACAGAATTACTATGGTCACAATATTATGGTCTGTACAACCTTGATTCTGATCACTTGTGTTTGTACATCATTACAGAACTTATGGCCTATTCCTGTTTTACTAAAGTAGTTTTTTTTACATCTGTGGTTATCCATGTCTTGATGACGAGCTGGTTGCTCCTCAGTCCAACTTAGATATACTTGAGATCATAGAATGGTTAGAGTTGGAAGGTACCTTAAAGATCATGGAGGTCCAAGCCCCCTGCCATGACCAGGGACACCTCCCAGTAGACCAGGTTGCTCAAAGCCCCATCCAGCCTGGCCTTGAACACTTCTCATAACTGCAGTTAAAATTGGGGAATGTGAACTAATACTGAACATCTTGAAAAAGGTTGTACTGGGTATCCCACATTTGTCTTCCAAAATAGCAAGATGTGTTTACACTAACCTATTCTGCCTCTCTTTGCTGTTCTTGACAGATATGTTGTAAAAACTTATTTTATGAAAGCTCTTATTGAGAATAACGGGTTCTGGAAAGAAGGCAAAGGTGATTCCTTAGGGAGTCAGCTAAAGAACTGTTCGTTATATGAGCAGTATCACTTTTGTGTACTGAATGAACTTGTTGCAGGAAGAAAACCTACATATCATTTAATAATTTAAAACTCTCTGATTACCTGTCTGGAAAAAAACAGGAGGTATCTGGAGTTCCATGGAATTGCAGTTTTCTGTCTCATGATGAAGGAGACCCTGGAAGAACATGGAGAGGCGTAGAAGGATGGTGTCCTTAGTGAACTTGCGGCAGCCCTCAGCTGGGGTCAGCCTGAGCCAGAGAGTCTCTGCTGTGTTTTGCAACACTTGGTGTACTTTCCTCTCCCTTGAGTATTTGTATAATCTTTTTGAACTCATCTACATTTTTGACGTCTGCAACATAATGTAACAGTACTTCCACTGCTTCACTGCATATTTGTTTGTGTGTTTTGGGCAGTTCTTGATAACAAATGAAATCACTAGGTACATTAGGGTGATTTTTTTTTTTCTTAGAATCAATGCAAAACTGTTCTTTGTTTACTTCATACAGTTTTTGATTTTTAACTCTCTAGCATCTTCTTAAGTACTCTGCTTTTCAGGCTAACTGTAAAGTCTAAATGTGTTTACTTCCCTTCATAACTAGAAGAATTCTTTTATCTTTTTCTGTATTTTTTTAAATGCTCTCCTATACTTTTTTTTTTTCTGATGGGGGAGAGGGTATTTGGGGGCAAAAGAGGAGAGACTGAAATAGTGCGATTCATTCAAGATAAGAGCACACAAAGGTTTCATTCCACAGCTGAAGGGATTTCTGGTTTTGTGTTGAAGTCTTGGGGAACAGTACATTTGTGCCATTTTTCACTGTTTTCCTTGAAGTTCTAAGATTCTGTTTGCTTTTTGGATTCCCACTGATGTTTTCTCATAGGGTTGTCTGTGGTAACTTCGGGTATTTTATTTTTCTCAGTTACAACACTATGCACAATTACTATCATACTTCATGTGGATTACTTATTGGAAATTCATCTGCCATTATTTTTCAGCTACCTAATACTTTGATACAAAGGAGGAAATCATCAGCTTTTAAATTTGCTTTTAAATACTGAAACTCTGGTTGTTTTTCCCCACTCTTACTGTGGTTAGTCTTTAAGCTCATTTGGTTGAAATTTTGTTAAGAAAAGGTCAGTCTGAAGAGAAAAGATTTTAGCCTGAATGGTTACTGTTTGCCATAACAGTGAGTAATTGAAAATAGTAATGATTTCAGCCAGCCCTGTAGTATGACTAGGTGACTGTTATTTATTGTTTTTTTTTCTCCCCACTTTTTTAAGCCTATGGAAAAGTGTTCCTAGTAAGGAAAGTAAGCGGCCACGATGCTGGGAAGCTTTATGCCATGAAAGTCCTGAAGAAAGCAACGATAGTTCAAAAAGCCAAAACAACTGAGCACACAAGGACAGAACGTCAAGTGTTGGAGCACATCAGGCAATCACCATTTTTGGTCACGTTACATTATGCCTTTCAGACAGATACAAAGCTTCATCTCATTTTAGGTGAGTAGTTTTCAGGATTCAAGTTATATGTTAATGGGAAAAAAATAGTCTGCCTTTTTATCTCCTTAATGTTTTTTCATGTGGTCTTAAGTACTGTGTGTTTGGAAATTGCATGAGAGACCATAGGAAGTAAAATACTGTTAATCTTCGGCGGGGTCTGTGTTTCTGTGTTTGTGGTTTTCCTGTTTGAACTTCAGTGTGCTGCTCTGACTTGGGGGGGGATGGGGGAAGGAATATTATGCAGCAAAAAATGTATATGACTGTAAGTACCTAAACCAGAAAAATATTTTCTTGAACTTACCTAGAAGATAAAATTTTGATTTGGGCTTTTTAAACCGTTATTATATACTGCATTAGAAGTTTGTTGGTTTTTTTTAACAAATTTTCAGACAAAATGCTACCATGAATGAAAAAGTTCATAGTCTGCATGAATATGGGCATTAAAGTGATTCAGTTTTTTTTTTCCCCTGTGTGCTGCCTCTGTGTGTGTGGCACAGAGGTTACTGGTAAGGTGGGATGATGAAACATGACTTCGTTACTGGGATTAGTTGGTAGGAAAGAAGAAAAAAGTAAGGAAATATTTAAGCAGCAGAAAGCCTTCTAGTTCAAAGAGGCTGCACGTTTCACTCGAAGAACAAGTTCTATGTTGTCCTCAATGTGATCCGTGTTTTTGGAATGTTGTCCTCTGTCTGAGAGGATGGGGCTACCTGTTGCTGTGCTGACTGGTCAATGTGCCCTTTGAGCACCGAAACACTGCAAACTGAAAGATTGTATCAGACAGGCCTTTTTTCTGAATAAATGCAGTTTGTAACATGGGTGGTGCCAGTTAAAGATGGTGTTTTCATTTATTTCTGGTCAAATTCCTTTCAACATCGGGATCTACAAGTTGTTGGTATGGTTTTCTGCTGTAAAATGCTGATGAAAATGCTTGTATTGTGGATCAGTTTTTTGGTGATACCTCATTTTGGTAAGTTCTACCAGTAACTTTAGTAAATCTCCATTTATGAGTTGCTTGATAATGATCTGTGGTATAGCAAGCCTTGCTAGAACATCCTTCATTCCGCTTCTGTCCTTGCCATTTTGCTTTCCCTTTTGATGTGAAGAACCAGGTCTGTTTCTGTAGCCTTTGCCAGGCTGGCAGAAGGCTGATCAGGAACCTCCTTAGGGTTTCCAGCTCAGAGACAACTTCTGTGTGTGCATGTCTCTCTAGTCCCTGCTTTTCAGGACAGTGACATCTTAGGGAAAGACACTGAGATTAAAGAGTTCTATTCCTTTTGCTTTATTCCCCAATTTCATTGCCTTTGCAGAGTCCTGTCTTACTCAGGAAGTTGAAGGATTTTTCCTGATAATGAGGAACATTTACTTCAGGAGCTGGAAAAGAGTATTAAATTCAACTCTAAACCTTAACTGCTTCATGACACATTTGCTGCCAAAACTTTTTAACTATGAAACCATTTTATCTTGGAGTATTGAGATACTTGCATGTTTCAATTTTTGGGTGTTAAGAGGCAATCCAAAATCACACATTTCTGTGCTGAAAGAGTTTGTTCATAGGGCTTGATGCCACTTTAAAATTAGAACTATTTCTACCTTTCAGATTGGCAGCAAACTTTGGTGTATAAGATGTATTTGTAAGAAAACTACAAGCAATTTTTAAAGATTGCTTGCCTCGGGTATTTTAAGAGAACTGGAAAATGATTGATCAAGTAAATGCTTGGATGCAGAATACATTTTTATAGTGAATTTAAATGGTCCTTTAATTGAAGCCCAACTTTTGCAATTCCTTTTGGCTCATGACTTCCATTATTGAATCTTTATTAGCAGGCTGATTTAGACATAAAATTAATAATATTTTATTAATGTTATATGAATCTACACCACTGGCTATGAATTCTTAGAAGGTGTTCTATGTGTGTATCTCAGTTGCAGGTACTGCAGTGAGATAATACAGGTATCTGAGGAGCTCAAGCTTGAATGGAGTATTCACTAGATTCCTTTTGAAAATGAGTTGAAAATTGTAATAAGGATTCTTACAGATTTCTCTGACTAGGAAATTAAAGAAATGCATAAATACTGTCACAGGTGGGGAAAATGCTATAGATAAAGAAAAAGTTAAAATACGTTGGTAGCTTTGTGATTCCTTTATGTTAACCTTTAATAATTAAGTTTTCATATTTTATTTTTTGGCATTTAAGTTATTGATTAATAATTTGGAAAAAATTTGAAATATTAAATGAGACAAAATGTGAATACATATTATAAATATTGTAGTACCATTCTTTAAATCCAGCTATTTTTGGCTAGAATGCAGCTTAAGTCCCATTAGAAATTAGAAAAAAATCCCACCAACCAACAAACTGAAATGAAAAACCCTCACACTCGAGGTGGATGTAGTTACCTAAAAATAAATACATAGTAATGGAGAAATTCAGTGCTGTGAGGGTGGTGAGACACTGGAACGGGTTGCCAAGAGAAGCTGTGGCTGCCCCATCCCTGGAGGGGTTCAAGGCCAGGCTGGATGGGGCTTGGAGCAACCTGGTCTGGTGGGAGGTGTCCCTGCCCAGGGCAGGGGGTTGGAAATGGGTGATCTTCAAGGTCCCTTCCAACCCAGACCATTCCATGATTCTATGAAATTTAGGTGCCAAGGATAACTAGAAGGTCAGAAAAACCTCTTATATGAACGGAGAATTAAAAGCTTGGTGTTATATTCTTGTAAGAATCAAAGAGGAGGGAACCCAGCTCTGAAGGATGTTACGTAGCAGATAGAGCAGACTGGGCACACGCCTGCTCTAACACAATGATAAGGTGATGTTTAAAGCAAGAAGTTCAAAACTGATCTATAAGTAAGGGCTTTTTGTTTCAGTTTTTGCTTTCTCACAAAGTCTATGCGAATCCATCATCAGAATATCAGTTTGGGCCAGAAAGGTCCTATTTTCCTTCTTTTTTAGCAGAAAAAGGGAATAATTAGAGGAGGTTTAAGAATTTCTTTTAATTGCTTTTTTGTAAGAGCAAAAATCTCTTCTATCTAATGTGGCCTAAAGCTACTTTATAATATATTCACCTGGGTTTCACACCCTCCCTCACGAAAAAAACCCAACTGTTTGTTGCCAGTTTTTTATGTCTCACTATGTAAATCTTTGTAAATCAGTTCTTTGATTTAGTTTTGGAGTTTGTGTTAGGCTTCTGAATTCTTGGGGAAGCCAGTCTCTCTGCCTTTGTTTTTCTTACCCAGCTGAACTCAGTGCGTGAGCAGCGTGTCGTTTCAGTTCCAAGAGTGTTTAGAACTGGAGCCTCAGTGCACTGTTTAATGCAGTTCTTTGTGCCGTCAGATTACAGAGCCGTATGAATTTGGTCTGGATCAAGTGCAGACATGCAGTAGCATTTCTGCCAGATTTCCAGAATACAGGGTTTGGAGTTGATCCTAGTTTTTAGATTGACTTCAAGCTATGATTGAAAGAGCGAAGTGTTGTATCCATGCGAGTACCAGTTATACAAAGCTTGTCATATGAGGTTAACCTACTAACACTTCACAAAATATTAAAATCTGTACTGTCAGATGGAGTTTATATTGAGGTAATAGATTTTTTTTTTTTTAGTTCCCTCTCTCTCCCCCTTACCTTGTTTCAGTGGTGCATTTGATTTAGCACCAGGAATCTGAAGGCTGGTTGTTTTATTGGGCTGTGATTAGTGCTATAACCTGAACAGAATTGGGCTTATTCCGCCACTCCTGTGGCAGCTTTGGTTTGTATCTGTCACAGTCCTTAGAGCCGTGCCTGGGAATTCAGTCCTTATCTTGTACTAATTTAGAAGTTCTGATTGGAAATATTTAAAAGAAAAATTGATATCTTTGTTTTCTACATGATAAGAATGATGAAGCTCTTTTTTTTTTTTTTAAGAAGGAAGCAATGGTAAAATGTGGGTTATTTATACTTTATCATAATTCTTTTTTCATATACTTACTTATCTAGATAAATACCCTTCCTCACATTGTTTGATTCCACTAATATTCCTTCCAAAACAGAGCTGGAGAACTAAAAAAACAGGAGAGAGGTCAGAATGTCTACAACTTGTATAGATGCTTCTCCCTTAAAGTATTAACTTATAATAGGATTGCACCTTTCTAATGGGTTTATGTGCTGTACCAATGAATCTGTAGAAACCACATTCAAGAAAATGTTGAGTAAGATGCTGTGGGATGTGTTCCTGGCTCTGTATATGTAAATCTCTAATACAATATGGGGCTGTGGGGCTGCAAATCAACAACTTCAATGTACCCTGTTAGCATCAACAGCTCTGCCTCCTAAATGTGTTTGTGTTGCAGTGGAGTGCTGCTGTAGTAATTACTTCCCCCCCCACCTCTGACTGTGGGGAAACCCTTTGTAATACCCTGCAAAGAATGGAAGTGTGGTTTCAGTGAGGGAATGTATGTCTAAGTAATCTCAACCAGTAAGTTTTACCATCACAGTTCCCCTTGCAAAGGGTAAAACTTAAAATTGCCCATAGTTGATTAATTCACCTGATACCTGTTCTTTTTAGTTGTCTTTACGTCAGTATGCCTTGTTGCTCTGAAGTATTTCGTAAGGGTGTACAAGTATTCTGTTTGTACATATCATTTGTACTCCTTTTCATATTTCTAAATAACTAAAAGACTTTTTTTTTGTAAGAAATACTCGTCTTTATAATTTATGGATATTTGAGGCTTATTTTATGGTTTTGCTGCTTATTTAAAAGTTGGTCGTGTTATTCTGTCAGTGCTCTGAAAAGGAAATTGAGTATTGTCCAACATGATGTAATATTACTGAATTAAATAGAGTAAGAGCATCTGATCCCAGAACTTATTTCATAATTTACAAAGTACCTATTAGTATTCCAATAAGACAATTAAGTTGTCAGAAAATGAAAATAAAGGTTCTTTGTTCTACTTTTTAGACTATATAAATGGAGGAGAACTGTTTACTCACCTTTCACACAGAGAGAGATTCTCAGAAAATGAGGTGCAAATTTATATTGGGGAAATCGTTTTGGCACTTGAACATCTCCACAAGGTAAAGTACCTTTATCCTATATTTTGTGGAACTACAAGTATATTCTTTTCTCATCATATGAAGTCAGTAAGGAGAACTATTTTTTTAGATTGTTTTAAATTCAAAGTAGCTTTATCTTGCAATGAGACATTAGAAATACTTCCCAATGAAGTGTCTATTCATGTGCACCAGATTAAGGCTACAAGTTTTTGTCTGCAGCATGAAGAGTGTTGTTACTGACAAATGATTGTTAATTTTTAGCAGCCTTTATGAAATGGGCTACGTCAGTAAAATGAATTTATAGTCAACATAAACACTGTTTGGGCTGCACTATTTTTCAATTGTCCTTTTTTCTGAAACAGTTAAACAGCAGAGTTCTGAAGTTTTGGCACAACTGTAGACATGAAAAGCGTTACAGTTTTCAGAGGTAGTAAGTAGATTTGTAGATTATCGCAAAGCATGTGTGTATGGTCTAGAACATATTACAGAAGCATCTGTTTTCGTTCTTAATGAAAGCTGGACTGAGTTTCACACTAGCAGCAAGTATTCAGTCGCATTAAGATTCAAAGGACATAGTATGTCTTCTAAATCTAAAGACATTAATACACACTGTAATTTCTGAGAATTTTTAAGCCGCTCAAAGTTATTTCTTCAAAGGCATTTTAAAATTGTCCTTTTTTGAGGTGCAACTTTCAGGTGTGAGGTTACCTCAATAATGGGAATTTTGTTGCCTTTGTATTTAAATGCATTCAATGTCTTCTTGATGTGGTTACACTGATTTGGAAATACTTCTTATTTTCTGTTTGCAGTTGGGGATTATATATCGGGATATAAAACTTGAGAATATTCTCCTCGATTCCGATGGCCATGTGGTGCTGACAGACTTTGGTCTGAGTAAGGAGTTTCTTACTGATGAGGTGAGTATTTGAATCTCCAGTAAGGAAGGACAGAATCCAGCAAGATCACAAAGTCAGATTCTGTCTCACTGAAATCATAAACACATTTGAGAGGGGAGAAAAACTGCCTTCTAGGCTCTTCATAGAACAAAATCTAGTAGGCTGCTTCGCTGGATTTTGGTTTTTTTCAGCTCATTAGTCTTTGGCCTGCCAGTGGTGTCAGACATTTTTGTCTGTTCTAGTTTTTCCTGCAATGCCTTTGTGCTCCCTCCTGCCCTTTATGTGATAAAGGAGAGATCCACATGAGTCTGAAAAGCCACTTACATTATCATTTTCAGATGCCTTTTTAAAAACGCTTGACTGTGCTAATACTTTGCAGTGACTAGGCAAATGGTATGCTATGACTCTTCTCTATGCTAATAGTAATTAATGTATTATTATCTTGTCTCTTTCGCACGTCTTTGTGTCACTTTTGATAAGCTTAATTGCAAGCTTTTTCGGATAAAAGCTTACCTCTTATTAAATATGTGCATAGTACCTAACATAGTGATCTCTGACTGTTGACGTTGGTTGTTAATTATTTGTAAGGTACAGTTGTACCTTCAAATATGCTTTTTAGATTTCAGGGAGACAAAATTGCACAGGACTTTATTTCTGAGATAATTTAAAGATGGCTATTTTTTGCCTTCTGCTTTAGGTATCAGAGGCATTGAAATCTAGGACTGCAGATCTAAAAGTCTTTGTGAAAAGCAGCAAAGGGATTTTCTAAAAATAGATAACTGGTAGTTTCCTCTAGAATATTTGCATTTCAAATGGAGTCTGGTAGGATTTGGGAGGTACCATTTTAAGAGATACAAAATATGACTTTCTGAGGCAGGAAAATAGTACAGATAATGTCAGTAAATTCATCTTAAATCATAGCATGAAACCAAGAGGAGGTTCAACTGGCACAACAAGGGATTAGCAGCAGATTGCCAGACCAGTGCAAGAGAGGAAGTACAGAGAGATGCAGTTTTCAGCAAGGAAAAAAAAATCAAAGGTATGGCTAAGGGAATGTAAGCTTCAAGTTGAGGGCAGCTGTGTTGGGCACAAGAGACAAAGTAAAGCACACGGAGTGCTATTACTGGAGATGGGAGAGAAAAGAGTGTTCCTCCAGCCTTTGAGGCAAAGCTGAATGGAGCTGAAGTCTTCCCTGTGATAAGAGTGTCATAATGAATCAGGGCCTTCTTTAAGTCTCAAACCAGATGATTTAGGAAATAGGCTTATTTATCATCTGTGCTGACCTTCAGGACAACATTTACAAGCAGGCATGGAAAGGGCAGGACTTGGTGAAGCATCAGAGATGCCTCTCGGCTTTTCTCACCCTCTGAATTGAATTCCTCTTTCTCCAGTCATTAAATAAATCAGTTCCTGCTTGGTCATCTAATGTGGGTTCCTCTGACTCTAATCCGTTCTGTTTTCAGTACATACCTCAGAACTATCTTCATTTTTCCATGTTTTTTTCCTCATATTCTCCTTCACATTTTAATATTTTTCTTCCCTGTCAAAAATGTTCAATGTTTCCTCTTTTGAGGCGAAAAAAAAGTAATTGTGATTGTATCGTTTGCTTTCAAAACCTTATAAAATTGTCTGCACTTGAGTACAGTCTTTGTGTGCCATTTAGGTTTAGCTGCTGAACCTAAATATGATTAGAAGGACCCATTTCCACATAGAAACTGACATTTCATACTGTATTTTCTGTGGACAATTCAGCTACTACTAGAACACTTAGAGTTTGTGTTACAAAAGATACTTAACTGACTTCTGAACCAGTGTACTTACAAGAGGTAGAATTTCCCGGTATAACTGTGTAGCTTTAGATCTGTTTTCATACTTATTGGGTAGCACTTTTAAATAAAATTACACAACTGCATAAGTCAGATAAAAGTAGCGTTTGCAGTTTAATAAGAGCAGTGCATTCTCCTTTCTCCTCCTTCCTTCAGGCTTCTTCCCTGGCCCACCCTGGTTCTTGCAAGGACTTTGCCATTAAAAAAGTGTATTTGCGCAAGTGGAATTTATTCTAGTAAACCCCCCTCTTTGGATTGTATTTTCTGAAACAAGATATATTTAGGTTATTGAGAATGTATAAAACTTACCAGCAATTATAAACAGGTACTATGTTTAGAGCTCTGATCAAAGAGGATTCTTTACCCTGCGTGTTTGAATTTCGGATGGTTTTGTAGAAGGATAGTTCCTAGGAAATACCATAGTTCAATGTTTTTATTATTCATGCTTTAATCTGATGGTTGTTAAGGATTTCCAGGTACCTGAGCAAGTGTAGAATCTAACAGAAGTTGGTTTATAATAAAAAGAATGTACTGTTTCTTGACATTTATAATAATTATAGCAGATTAATTGACTGTTAAACAATGAAGAGCTGGGAAGCTGCTTTTCCTAAGCACTGTTTGTGTGAAAGGAAGGAAATGCACGAGACTTTGAGGAAAACAGAAACCCATTAATGTTTGCCATGCAGCTACTGAAGCATGAGTGTAAAGAGTGTGTTGTCAAGGATCCTTTGTTTTACAATTATTATATGAAAGTGCTTACAATGTGCAAGAATTACAAATTCAAGCTGAAAGCAGTGCAGTTTTAAGAGCTCTAAAATTTTTCATACTACTATTTTGCTAAAACCAGAAATTTGTCTTGTACAAGTGAAATGGCAATCTGGTTTTGCCTTTTTTTATCTTTAAAATGAAATCCATGTGCTTGTATTTGCATGCAAAAAAGAGGAAATAATCTGACCAGAATAAAGTTGTTGAATAAAAATGAATTTTTACATGGGATAGGACAGTATCAAGAGGTATTTAGGTATGAAATGACTTCTTACATTCAAATTTTATTTAGTATGTCATGAAGACCTACATTTTGACTCGCCTAACCATAGAATGGGATTAAGAAAGAGATTAGAGGTTGAAATGAATAGTATCTCTTTAGTATTAATTTTTATGGCATTTGCATAATTAGCCTGTGATGAAGCTAAGGTTAGTCTTTCTGAATTTTAACTCTCAACTGAATTGCAAAGAAAATCAGGGTAAAAAAAAGACACTTTTTAGCCTTGTGCTTTCATGCATCTCAGTTGGGTTCCTGTCTAACTGGGATGTAGAATGCATTTGCACATGACACTAATATAAATTATTATTGGGTGCTTGGGGAATTGCTAGGACTGACAGACTTTGTATTGAAACTTCTACAACACAGTTTTGTTCATTGTGTAAGTGCAATCACTTCAGTCTTGCTGTTGGTTGTTTTTTTTCAAGAGTCTTGCATTTCATTTACCTTTTAAAAACAAAAAACCCTAAGTTGGTGGGGCTTTTTTTTGTCATCTTATTTCTTGTTGAAGTATCTTTGTCTTCTGAATTTGTGGTTTAGGAATATTCCTATCTTTTTATCTCATTAATAGCTCTGCTTGTATGTTGTAATTGCTTTGATTTGGTTAGTGTCAGTTTAACCTAGTCATCAGGTACGGTCTTCATTTTAATGATAATTCTTAAAATGCTACCTCATTTTTTAAATGTTTTTTTCCCCTCTCACATTTCCGTTAGTTCTGTAACTGCGCTAAAAATAATACTTTATTTTTTCTAAGATATAAAGATCTCCATATATACTAACCTGAACCCATAATTGAATTACTGTAGCAGTAATCTATTTTTTTGAAGCATAACAATTAACATTTTTATTGTTAATTAAATCTCATAAAGTACACTTTCTTCCAGAGTCTAGTGAAACGCTCGATTCTTCTGCATTGGTACACAGCTTCTGTACTAGCTTGTTTGTTTTGGAGTTTTTGTGTTTGCTTAATGAAGTTCAAAGAAAATTATGCAGTGAATACTGAACGTTGTCAGTCTTCAAACAATATAACTGAGAGCATACAAATGCCTTAGTAATAAATAATATAAGAGTAGATATTCTGTATGAGGAATTGTAACCTGAGTGTGTTGGATGGCTCTCTGTGTAATTCTGATGTGTAGGTGAATACTTCAGATACATGATTGTTTTCCCATCTGAAAATCTCTGGATCCGAGTTGCAGATTTAGTTATGACTGTCAGATGCTTTTCACTGTTGAGGAGTTGTTTGTTTTTGTTTATTAGCTGGTTGAGTGAACGGTTTGTTCTGCAAAGAAAATGACTATGTAATTTTAATAGGTTTTAAAGGAAATTTCATTAAAGGAAAAATGATGAAAAGGTGATTAGTCCACTATGGATTTTGGTAGATGAAGTAGGCAGAGATTTGTACACATACTTGGAGCAGTTTAAGGGTAGCCCAGAACAGAGGGAACTGACTACAATTTGACTCTTGTTTAAAACGCTGTATGAACTGTCATGTTACTTGAGTCAGCTGGTAGGTTAGCTGTGCACTTAACTTTACAAGATGCTTTATAATTGTCCAATTAATTGGATAATGTCTGATCATGGAAAATTTGATAGTGCACCATCTGAATGTGGAGCGTTCTCCAGCGAAGATGACTGGGAATAGCCCATACTGGGGATGACTGGTACTACATCTGCTTGTGTTTTAGTTTTGTTCAGTAATGTAGACATAGCACAGTTGTAAGGAGTAGATTTCCATTTCTGCAAAGAGGAAAAAGGAAGAAAGAGTAAAATGAATAGTGAAGTTAGTCCACAGAAGTTAACATTGGTTATGTATCCGTCTGGACAATTGCTCATTAGTTCCCTTATTTTGGAAAATGAAATTAAAGAATAGCAAAACCTTTTTGCTTTAATTGTTCTACTTCTGTGGTTGTTCTATGTGTCCTGAAATTGAATATTGAAAACATACTAAACACTCTTAAGGCACGTAACTGAACTGGACTCATTTAATAGCAAAACCAGGTCATTGGAGATCAGGTGACTGTGCCCAGGAGGTCTCCCTTTTTTGATGCTTATCGCAAAGATGATTGTGCTTTCCCAGCATGGAAGAGTAATGCAGAGATTTGTGTAGCACAAAATACATTTTGATGCCAAAATCTCAAAGTGCTGTTAAG